TGGCCCAGTCAAGGAGAAGGAGGCAGAGGAAGGAATCTGATATCTAGGGTGGATCCAAGGAATGGTGATTCGTTTGAGCAGCATGGGTATTCTGGGTCCATAGTCATAGTAACTCGATCCTAGGTGGATTCCCCCAAACATCCCATCCTCAGGAGTGCAGGCAAAATGGAAGTGGTGCAGAAACGCAATGGCCATTTTGGGGGAAGGGCAAAATGGCACTGTGCAATTTTGAGTCTTACCAGTTCTATTTCAAATCAATGAAATGTATTCATGGCTCTTCCTCTATATTCCTGTTTCTGTGTCTGTCTGCCTCTCTCTGTCTCTTGGTTTCTCATCTTCTCTCTGTCTCTGTCTTTCTCTTTTATGCCTTTGTCACTGTGTCTCTCTGATGCTCTCACTCCCAATCATAAAGAGTCTAGGAACAAGGCACACTTGGATTTTCACACAGCTCTTCCACTTACTAGTTTAGCCTTCATCTAAATGTCAGTGCCCTCATTTTTAAAATAGAGAGAGTAATACTGATCTTGCTGAGTTGGCACAAGGATGAAATGAAACAAAGCGTATATAGCAGGCAACTCAGTTCCCGACTCATAACAACTGGTCAATAAATGTTTGTCCCTTCTCTTGTCTCCTGTTTACTATATACCGGTGGTATATTAGCATCCCACCAATCTGGTGGCTTTCTTCTGGTGTGGCCTGCCCTCGGCCCATTTTCAGCTCAGCCAATGGAACCACGACTCGCTGGAACCATTTTTCATCCAGTTGGTCTCTTTCCAGTAGTTTCATGTAGCCTCTCACTGTAAATCATTCTGGGAAAATAAATGTCCCCAATCCATTAGTGCCTTTCTACCACAAGCCAATTTGAGCCACAAACCAGACAAGGCTTGTTAATGGCCACTTAAATACATTCCTGCAGCCCAACCTGGAGACCCTCTACCAGCCTCAAATCCTAGTGGCCGCTGTCCAAGAGGCACTCCACTGTGACAAGACTGATGGCAGCAAAGGCACAGATGTGATCCTTATCACTTAGGGGAGAACCACACACCCTGGTTTGCCTAAGACAGTTCCAGTTTGTTCCAGCTACCCAGGAGTAATTGCGAATTGTGTCCCTTTCGCTTTGCCTCATCCGGATCCCTTCTATGGGTTGTGCAACCGTTCCCCAATTCTGGACGTGTTGGCTGCTCAAGGCTCAGAGCTGTCCCCAGCTCAGAACTGTACTCAAATAGAAGCCACCTCTGCTTGAGAGGTTCCATGCCCTCACTTAGGAAACAGCCCACAGCCAATGACACAAATGGCTCCCTCTGCTCCTTGGCTTCATGGTAGGACTGATTCTGGGGTGGGATCGAGGTGTGACCACACCCTTGTTTAGCTCCTTCCTCTGTCATAGCCTACTTCCCTTGCTCCCATAGCCCTGGAAGCACCCCTTCAATATGCCACTTGGAAAAGCACTCCTGTGACAGGCTCTGCCTTCAAGGAGTTAGACCTAAGACATCCAGTTAGCAAGTAGCAGAGCTGGGACTCATGTCTAGGAAAGTCTGACTCTTATGCACTAAGCAGATGGGACGTAATATTATCTATATTACATGATTAAAAAGATGGCCCCCAGGTTGTCAGGTCACTGAGAGGCATATGTCATCTAGGTCTAGATATGACAACAGCAATGATGACAACAGTAACAACAACTGCTACTTATTGAATGCCAATAAAAAGCCAGTCTTTTTATTGCATCTGATCCTCTCAACAATACCACGAGGTTCATCTTATGATCCCCATTTTGCAGATGAAGCTCAGGAAGCTCAGAGAAGTTGGGACATGTCCACCACTGAGGTCACATGCATGGGAAGAGGTGTGGCTTAAGCTTATATCCAAATCCATCTTTCTTCAAAGTCCACATGCTTTTTCCACTTGGCTACTTAAACCTCTTCCTGAATAAATTATTCAGTAAATAATTGAAGACATAGATCTGCCATCAGAGCTGAAGTTTTCAAAACAATTTAGACAGAAGACTCTGCAATCCCCAATCTCGTGTGATAGTTCTTTTTGAGCTGTGTTTGACCAAAATGTCTCCACTTTCTAGGAAAAGTCATATTACTTTGGGAATAGCTAGGGAATGTTCTCTTAAGCCAGACATAAAAAGATCAAAGGAACCATATACACTGAAGAAAGGAAAGAAATCAAGAGTACATGCCAAAGGTTCAGAGAGGAGAATCACATTTCTTATGGCCTTTCCACCAAGGGAGACAAAACAGAATAAAAGAAAAACAGCAAAGCTTGAAGGAGAGGCAGATTCAAATCTTAACTCTACTATTGTGTGATGTTTTTGGCAAATGATTCAATGTTTCCAAGCCACAAATGTGCTCTTCTGTAATATAGGAAAAATACCTGTCCCATTGGTCCATGAATGAGAGAGGGTAAATGAGATAAAATATGTATTTCTTCCCACCTCGTCTCTTCTATTTCCATAAAATTTATAGAGTAACCAACTGGAACTCTCATTCCAGCTCTGACTAATACCAGTTCAGATGGACTATGCTTTCTTCCCAAGCAAAAAGCATACTCTATTTGATGATAAAAGGTTTCTATTAAAAATAGCAGATAAAAGGGGGACCTTCATCCAGGCAGCCATTCGCTGATTCATAAAAATACAGAATGAGTCATCCTGGATCCCAAGGCTAAAACTTTCAATCAATGGGCATCTTTGGCCAGCCAATCCCAGCCCGGCGGAGAAGGAAGGGCCCAGCAGGCCATCTTTACAAGCTTATTCCAACCCTCCTTTGCAAAACCGATTAACTCTGCTTCCAGCTTGGTGAAAGAAAAATCAATCTGGGCCCTTTGCAACACTGTATTCCAAAGGTACCCCTGTGCCTGGTCGGCTTCCTGAATGTGTGTGTGTGCGCGTGTGTGTGTGTGTGTGTGTGCGTGTGTGTGTGTCTGTGTGTATAGCTCCACTGAAGAACAGGCTTGTGTGTCTGGCTTTGAAAAATCAATCTCCTGGCCTTCATCTTGACATTTATTATTTCAATAACAGTTCCTTTCAGCAGTTATGCAGTTAGCATAAGGCTAGAGAACACAGACATGTGTACTGCAGATGATGCTCTTTCTTTTGAAAAATAGCTTCATTATTTTTCACTCTCCAAATATATGGGGGCTGTCCGGAAAGTATCCAGCCATTGTCATACGTAATTTTCACAGTACGTGGCTGGATACTTTCCAGAAGGCCCGCATATACTCAGACATAGAGTCCTAGATTCCAATCTTCAATTTGGAGGGTGGGTCATATATTACATATATATATATCAAATTCCACATATGTACATATATACACACATATATATGTGTATATACATATTATTTTTTGGTGACACGGTTAAGGAAGGAGAGTTATAAATATAGCAGGGTTTTAATTGTACTAACCAGAAGCTCTTCCACCAGCAAGTGAATAAAAATAATGACTCCACAAGCCCCCTCCAAGCTCTTTCCTCAATCCATTCATTAGACAATAACTCATTTAGGACACAGTGTGCCAAGCACTTTGCTAGGCATCGTGGCTTTATCAGTGAAAGGGCAGATATAAGCTCTGCATTCTGGGATCAATCAGCTGGGTGCAGTAAGAGTTAACAGAAACAATTGTACAGGATCCCCCAGTCTGCAAAAGCCTCTTACCCCAAATCCTCCATAGAGGCCCAGATATGACCAGCTGCATATATCAGGAGCCAGCCAGAGATCACTGCCCACTTCTCCCACCAGCTGCCTTCTAATCTGGCGAACGAAGCCTGGGTGCTCTCAGCGTGGCCAAGGGGAGGGGACTTCCCTTTGTATTTTTCCTGTCTCTAGATTTGGTACAGACTCTGAGTTTCTTATCTAACCTGGGAACCCCTGAGCCGGCTGCTCCTTTAGGGAGCGATGTGTGTGTTGGGGGCTTTAAAACACAGAGATGGGAGGAGACGGGATCCTCTCACCATAATAGCAGCAAGTTCCCCTTACAAGTTTCACAGGCACACACAGTGTTGGGTTCAGGGACTCTCTCCTGGGTCCGCCCTCCCCAGAACTTCAGGGATATGATGGCATAGTGCCCGCACACAGAGAGGCTTACACTCTCCCGGGACAATCCCAGCTAGGCGTGGGTCCGGAGAAGTTCCCCCTGGAGAAATGGGGAATGGAGGGCAGCTTAGAGAGCAGAGCTCTCTCTGAGACCGGATCAGGAGTTCGAAGGTGATGGATCAGGGTTTTTTCCCCTCTGGGAGAAACACGGAGGATGCTAGTGGGGGAGGGAGAGAGCTGGGCTGCAGCTGGCCTCGCCCCTCACCAAGCCTGGAGGCTGGGTACCTGACCTTGCCTCCCACTTCCTTTCTCTATACCAGGCCACAGGGAGGGAAGCGTGCGGGAGGCGGGACCCAGCGGTGCACCCCGTCCCAGTCCCATCAGGACAACAGCATAGAGGTTAAAAAGATCGAGTATCCAATCCTGGGCCAAGCCACTCAGTGGCAGCTGAGTGATCTTGGGCAAATCACTCATTCTCTCGGTGCGGCGGTTTTCTCACCTGCGACGGGTGATGCTGCGGCTACCTGACTCATTAGGTCCCAGGAAGTATTAAATAAGATCGCGCACGTAAAACTTTAAAAAGGGCGGCTGGCACGCTGTAAGCCTGCGGTTATTATTTTTTAATCCCGTTAACCCTCAACTCCGCCGTGCTGGCGGCTGTGCTGTCCTACCCGAAGGAGAACTCCGGCAGCGCAATCTGGGTGCCACCTTCCTCCCCGTCCCCAAGAGCTCACATGCTCTCTTGGTCACCCCTAGATCTGGCTTGGGGACACGGGGGGCCACCTCCCCGCATGCTCCCCAGCTCTGGCCGGCCGCGGGGAGGCTCTGAGACCCGGCTGGGGCGCGGAGGGGGCGCCGAGGCTGTCCCCGGGGCAGCGACCCCGCCGAGGCTCTCCCAGCCCTCCCGCAGCGCGGCGCGCGCACAGAGAGAGAAAGCGAGAAAGGCGCGGATACTGGACCAGGCTTTGACGCGGATCTTGAGCTCGCAGTCCTGCGGCTCGGGCATGGCCCTCCTGCTGAGCCGCAGCTTGTTGAGCCCCCCGAAGCCGGCCAGCACCACGGCGCGCATCTCCTGGGCGTCCCCGAGGCGGTGCGAGCCGTCGCCGCCGCCGCCCTCCGCCGGCTCCTTGGTCGCCTCCTTCTCGATCATCTGCTCCGTCTCCTCCGCCTTCTCCACGCCTTCCTTGGCCATGGTGCGCCGGGGCGCGGGGCGCACGGGCTGCGGGGGCTGCGGCGCGGGGGGCTCGGGGCTCGTCTCCGGCGGGTTCCTCCTGTTGAATGTGGGATGCTCCGCTGTGCAATGGCTGCAGCCTCTGCGAGCCGCGGCGCCGCGGTCCACAGCCTCCGCCGTAATCCTCGCAAGAGCGGAGCCGCCGTCCGCCCCACCTGCGCCCCCCACCTCCCGTCCTTGCTCAGACGAAGCCTCACCCCGCTTCCTGAAGCAGTCTCACATTAGGCTCTTGATCGCAGCCCTAAAACCCGGATTTGCCCAAGACCTGTGAATAAATAAAACACACGTAGAAAGGCCACCGTGTCATCCGTCGTGGGCGCAGTACTTGGTTATATACGGCGCGGGCTGGGGCGCCTTGAAATGGACAGAGATGAATGTCTGGGCCTGGAGGATGCCTTCCCGCGACAAGGTTGCCTCCTCTCCCGCGGGTCTGCGGGGGCGGGCGGGATAGTCGGGAAATTGGGCTGTTTCCCAACCCTCTGGTTCTGGGTGGAAGGGCTGAGAGAGTCGGGAAGCGGGAAGCCTGAGGTCCCACTCACTGCCCTGAAGCGTCCGATCCAGGGTCCTCCGGACCTCCAGGGTCAGCCAGGATGCTCCTTCCCGGGCACCACCAGGGGCTTTCTTACGATGGCTAATTCTCACCACCTGCACCATCTTGGGCCTTTAAAGAGGCTCCAGGAAAGACTCTGGTGCCAGAAAATGGTCCTGTTCTTGTTCCAAACCCCCAGAAGACCAATGGGTACCCACTCCTGGACACACACACACACACACACACACACACACAGAGTAATAACTGGCTTTTTGCTTTGTTTTTTGCTATTTGGAAAATAGCCCTTTGGAAAAAAGAGCTCATAGAAAAACTCGGATTTTCTGAAAAAATGGGGGGGGGCGGGTAGTGGTTTGCCTTGTGGCACTTCAAGGAAAGAGATGCAGTTGAGGAATGGTAGGGATATGTTCTAGTTGCTATGCCACTGCCAGCCTTGGGATCTTCAGCGACTCATTCAACCTTCCAGAGCCTCAACACCCTCATCCATAAATTGGGTACATTAGTTTTGTTTTCTGCATTGTGCAAAGTGCTGGGATGGATAAGATTTCAGTGATGAGCAGTCCTTATGTTCGAGGAGCTCAACCTCAAAGCACAAGGCAGGAAGGACATAGTCAACAAATGGATACGGCATCATGAATGATATAAATGCTTCTTCTCCCTCCATTTTCTCTGTGCCTCTTTGCTTTAAATGCCCTGGTCTTCTATTTCTCAAAAAGAGCGTTATGTCTCCTCCTACCATAGGGTTCTGCACCTGCTGTCACCTTGGCCTGGGATGTATGTTCCACCTCCTTCATCTGATTTTAACTCCCACTTTATTCACACCCCACTGCCCATTCCTTGTGGAAGGCATTCCCACCCCTAGGCTGGGTCTGTATATTTTACTGTGAACTCTCACGTCACTTTGTAACTAACTTTTATATGATTACCTGATAATGTCTGTTTCTTTTGTCCAACTATGAACTGTATGTGGGTAGAAGCTGCTTCTGCTTTTATCCAGCATGGTTTCTCTAGGGCTTAGCTCATGATGGGTACATGGTGGAATATGCACAGAAACAGTTTGTTGAATGAATGAATGAGTTAGTGCCTGCGGATGCTATTGTGGGAGCCCAGAGGAAGACACCATTAACTTGTACAGAGAGTCAGAGAAGTCCTCATTGAGGAGGTAACATTTGAGCTAGATCTTGAAGGATGAGCCAGGTTCTTCAGGTAGAAAAGTTCACAAGCGCATTCAAACGCATAGAAAGGGGACAGGTAAAAGGGCTTTTGAGAAGATACTGGTTTGTTCTATGTAGGCAGAGCATTGGCTGTATTTAGCCCTCACCGGACATGAGGCTGAGAGGTCTTCTGCCATGCTGTTAAATTTAAGATATAATCATGGAGGCAGTGGGCACCACTAAAGTCTTAAAAAACAAATGCAAGGGAAGAGTGTTACCAGAACAGCACTTTAGGATGATAGCTGTGGTAGTAAGTGGGTGATGGATTAGGTGATAGAGTTACTAGAGGTATGGAGATCAGCTAGAGATTATAATGCAGGCAAAAACAAAACAAGGGAGAAGGTCCCCAGCCGAGGCAATGGCTGTGGAATGGAAGGGAGGGAGTTGAAAGAAGGATGAATAGACAGGGCTTGGTTAGTGAGTTGAGCATTTTATTGCAAACCCAAGGACCCAAATTGTTAATCCTGTTTACATTGTGAAATATAGTGTTTAGGCTGGATTCTATCCTGAAACAAGAATCTGAGTGCCAGTGGTTTATTTTGGAGGTAATCCCAGGAAGCTCTAGTTGAGAAGCAGGGAAGTAAGACAGAGAATTGATAGTAGCCAATTCGGAGTGCATTCATAAGCAGGTTACTGCTACGGCCAAATAGGGCTCAAAGCCCACAGGGAATCCTTGAGAGACGGCGTGGAACAAGCCTCAGAGTTTTCCTACCCAAAGAGTGAGGACATAGGTATTTATTCACTCAATTCTACACTTGATTGTCCAAGAGCTGTTAATGGAAGTGTTATCTCCCTGGCATTTCCATCCTGTCCCATGTCTCTGGGCTGAAAGAATTCCCAGGCAGAGAATTTGGATGTTCTTCATAGGAGAATAGGGAATTCCAAGGGGATGTAGCTTTGGCACTGATAACATCTGCAACATATGTTATTGTTTTGGGGGTGTCTACTGTTCTTGACACTTTAGGTATATTTTATAATTTGATCCTCAGAATAACCTTATGAAATAAGAATTACTATTCCCACTTTCTCAGAAGAGGAAATTGAATGTTAACATGGTGAATGACTGTGCTCAAAGGAATATACTGAATACACTGGTTGTGGTGAGCCTGCCTCCAAATCCATGCTGTTAACATCTCACCGTGCATGTTTATTTGGATGGGTCAAACCAGTTCTGCCCTTGACTGATAATACTCCATGGCATTTTTGGATGTCCTGTGCTCTTTTCTTGGCCTCCTCATATCTCTGTCCCACCAAGTTCCCTTGCCTCGGTTCTGAGTGTTTTCCTTTGGCATTAGGAAAGTGAATCTACTTTGTAGTCAGCACACAGCATGTTTAAGAGAAAGTGTTTGTCTTTTAGTGTGTTAAAGGGAATATAATTACTCCCTCCAAGGAAATCTTCTGGCTGTTTACAAACCCCAGATTATAATTGGCAGGCAGCTGATTATCACAGCAACCCAGAGGGAACACACCCCAGTTTGTGCTGCTTAGGGAGGAATACCCTCCTCTGAGTCCTATATACCGCTATTAAGTATTCTCAACTCTGCTCATCTCTGATGGAATGTGGCAAGAGCCATACTGCATGGCGTACTTTCAAATAAACACAATAAATCAATTTTTAATTTATAAAATTGATTTCTTGGGCATTCACTCACAGCCTTAATTGTGAAATTCCTTACATTGCAGAATAACATCAAACAGCAGCCACTGATGGTGAAACATAGTATTACAGCTCAGGTCTGTTAACTTGTAAATGGCCTGGGAAAGTGTGTGTGTGTGTGTGTGTGTGTGTGTGTGTGTGTGTGTGTGTAAGGGGGCAGGGAGAGGGAAGGAGAGTGCAGATGGCCACATAAATACAGGAACCCCTCAAGGTACTGGCCATCTGAAGGGAGTGTCGTACAATAGAGATGAGGTCTTTGAGTAAGAAGATATGGGAAACAATCTTAGTATGATTTTTAGGAATGATTTTCTAAATAGTTTGAAATGGTTCAGTAACTTTCTAGAGAAATATTAATGTATTACTTGAAGCAGACAATGTCTTCAACTATATCCTTTAGTAATATTTATTCTATTACATCATCTTCCATACAATTAGAATCATTATACATATATTATTAATATTTAATTTTCAACATAATCCTTTGCCATAGGCACTATTATCCCTACTTTACAGAGGAGAAAATTTATTGTAATATAGTCGGAGAAACTTTCCCAAGATTGCCTACTTGGTAGGTGGTAGAGTTGAGATTTGGAAGTTGGAGACAAGCACTCTGAAATGTGAGTGCTTAACCACTGTGCTATAATGTCTCTTGTTTTATGTGTTACTCTATCTTTCACCCATAAGAATGCCATAGAATAGGTCAGGAGGAAGGAGATAAATTTATAAGGCCAGTAATGGAAAGAGGTAGAAGATTCTGGCTAATGGAAGATCTTAGTAAAATCCAGGGGCTTATATTTAAGAATGTGTGCCATAATTTCTTATAGTTTGTGTTGATGCCATTTAAAAGATGACGGAACATAATTGCCTTGAATGTAACATAATAATGTTGTTCAGAGAAGTACTGGAGAGGTCTGCAGCCCATTCTGAAGATGGTAGGATAAGCTTCCTATTTATGTCTTGTAGGACCAGTCACATGCGGTAAACTCTAGTTGTGTCAGAGAGGAAAAAAAGTGAACTGGTATTTATCCACCATCTTTTGAGTGCTGACCTCGTGCTATTGCTAAGTACTGGAGATAAAGTGGTGAATAATACAAACATATTCTCAGTCCTCATGGAGCTAGCAGCCTAGTCAAGGAGGCATATATTGATTTAGATTGGGTTGCCCAGAAGCAAACTTTTCTTAATTTGGAGATTTGAGTGCAAATGGTTTATTGGAAAGGTGATCCCAGGAATTGCTGGAAGTGGTGTGTGGAAGTGAGACAGGGAAGGGAAAGAAGTTACTACAAGGTGCGTTACGTGGCAGGTTATCACTGCCGTAATTCAGGTTAAATCCTACCAGGGAACTCTAGGAGATGGTGTAGAACACACCTCAAGGGGCAAGGTAAATGGAGTATCCACCAACTCCTGTCAATCCTTGTTTGAGGATGGTTTCTGGGGGCACCAACCATCTACCATTTCTGGCCTGCCCTGCACAGGGGCTGTTTGGGAACTGGCAGCTAGACAAAGCTGTCCTGAAAGAGTTGCAATTGTTTACAGTTGGAAGAAGCCATTGGGTCATTGTGCATGGCCATGGTGAGCTCCAAGAGGGTGTAGGTGGGACACTGACAATCTCCACCACGGATATT